ACTAGGATGGGCATTGAGCACTAGGATGGGCATTGAGCACTAGGATGGGCTTTGGGGTACTAGGATGGGCATTGGGTACTAGGATGGGCATTGGGTACTAGGATGGGCATTGGGTACTAGGATGGGTATTGGGGTACTAGGATGGGTATTGGGTACTGGGATGGGCACTGGGGTACTAGGATGGGAATTCGGGTACTAGGATGGGAATTCGGGTACTAGTATTGGCATCAGGGTACTATGATGAGCATTAGCCAGAATATGGATGACAATGGGCCTGAGATTGACATGATTCCAGGGGCTGCAGAGACCATGACTGAGGCTATGACTCCTTGACAGGCAGAGGAAGAGGAGCATTTGGTAGTGGATACTGTAGGGTGATGACTACAGGGGAGTCAGGAGCCACCATGAGACCAGTAAGAAAGACAGGATGACAGGGTATGGAGCCCCAGAGATGATCTCTCTCTCTCTCTCTCTCTCTCTCTCTCTCTCTCTCTCTCTCTCTCAGAATGATTATAGATGTGATGATAGAGGTCTCCCCACGTGACCCAACCTGAGTCAAAAGCCTCAGAGTACTCCTGAGGAAGAAGGCTCCTCTTTCAGCACTTCCTGGTCCAGCTGAGTGGATTCTGTAGAGGAGCAAAGACAGTTGACCCAGTTGCTGGAGAAGAAAACGGAAGAGCAGCAACAGAGAGGGCAAGACGAGCTGCAGCCTCAGCTGGATGAGCCAGAACTGGACCACAGGTCCAGAGGGGCTGGGGACATGTAAGTTGGGGGAACTCAAAAGCATTTCATCTCATCCACCAGAAGCCATGGCTTGAGGAGTCACTGCTTTTCTCAAGGGAATCATCTCTGACATCTTTGATTTCTGGTCCTGTCCACCATTTCCTACTGCCCTCCCCTCTAGAGGTCAGAGTATCTCAGCTGATGGACTGGGGTGGTGAATAGAGTGTAAAAAGGGGGATTTGAGCTGCAGTTCCTCAACCTTGACTTGGGTGTTTTCAGGTGTCTACTGTAAAAGGCCTCCAGACCTTAGCACAATTGACTCCATGATGGAAGCACCACCATTCAGGTCATAAAACTCAGCATGTAGACAGCATCCCCTGACAAAATGGAAACAAAGACTTAATCTATCAAAGTCTCTAGTTCTCAGAAAGTCCCTAAATGTACTAACCTTGCTGTTTTACTTCTGTAGTTCTGCTCCTGGTTAACTGTTCTAACTGAAGAATGTCATCCCAGGATATGGTTTTTGTGCTTAAAAGCTCACCCTGAGAAAGGCTCAGTGCTACACTGGGATCTTGAACACCCAGTGTAGTCACTGGCTGGCCCATAAAGACTTCTTATTGGCACAAACCTGTGTCTGAGTAGTCCTCTCTGGTGTCTACCCCACAATACTATAAGTTCCTTTGCTGGAATCGCACACCAGTGTTCGGGTCTATCATGTGACCTAGACGGTGTGTGGTTTTCTGCTTAGGAGAGTTGGTTTCATGACTTCCTTCCAGAGTAGACAATAATGGGAAGAACGCTTGAAGGTCTTGGTTTCCTTGGCAACACTGCAGCTTGACCTGTGTGCTTTGATGTGCACCGCTGTAGGCACCAGCTCCAAAGATGGCAGCTGTTCCTGTTGCAGGAAGTCAGGGAGCCTGCAGGGAAATGGTTCCCTGGTCTCCAGTGTGAGCCCTAAGCCTACTGTGCAGGAGCGTTGGTTTAGTGTGCTGCTGCAGTGGGCACAGCAAACCGCTGATCCAGTGGACTTGATGGCCAGTAGCTAGAGAGTGGGCTTTTAGAGAGAGACCCGGGGTTGAATGTGGTCATGGACAATGAAAGGTAGTTTGCCCTCTTTGTCTGTTTTTCTGCAGATAATTGCATCTAAGAGAAAGTGGTTCTGTCCCACTCTCCTACTCTGTTAAAATAAAACAGGGGTTGATTTAAGCTCCTGAATATATGTAAAACTTGTACAAAGGTATCTTCTGTGAAAATGACTCACAATCTGTAGACATTAATTAGGAGATGCCTTGAGATGTAAAACCCTGTCCTTTGGTTTGAGAGATTTTTGGCTTTCCCCAATTAAATTTACTCTTTAAAGATAAAAATAAAGATTACAGCTGGGTCATGCGGACGCTGTCGCCGGTTTGGTCGCATGCCACCATCTCTTGTGCTGCTGGTTGTTTCTTATTACATTTTCCCCCAGAGGTCAGCAATATTTATTTAACCCAGTTTATAGATACCATGTAAACAGAGTCAGTGGATTTGAGATATCTTTCCCCTACCTCCTCTTCTTCAGTTGAGAGTTTCCAAAGATCACAGGCTCAGTCTCATGATCCCAAACTAGATAATATATCCATCCCACAACTTGTTTGACCTCTTACTCAAATATGACTTCCCCTCTCTCCCCAGGTCAACTACTGACCCAGGACCACACATGGAGAATAGTTTTAATTTCACTGGTCCTTCCTGTCACCGTGTCTCCTTCATGGGCTGGCGACTTGTCAAGAGCTCTACCCACTGTGCAGTCACCACCCCATCCTCAGCACCATCCTCAGCATCTCCATCATCGTATGGGAGCTGCCTGATGGTCAAAGGGGGAGCTGGTGCAGCTGATGCTGGACAGAAAGGACTGTGGCTCAGAGCACATCATCCTGTGGGGAGGGAGGACGTGGAGCCTCCTACTCCAGCCCTTCTGTTTCCCTGGCTTCTCATTACTTGCTCCTGCACAGCCCTCTCTGTTCACACCCACAGACCCCACTGTGTGGTTTTAGACCCATTCGCCCATCTCTAGTCCGCTCTGGTCCCTCGGTTCAGGCTGCTGTCACATCTTTCTTTGACGCTCAGGCCGTCCATATTAACTCTACAGTGAGACACAGAATGACAAACACCTCAACACTTGGTTCTGTGGACTCAGCCCCACACTCTCTGCTTTCCAACCTTCACTTCTGGTGCTGTGATAAATACCTGACAGAAGCCAGTCCCTCGGCTTACAGTCCCTGGCTGTCTGTAGTCCATCATTGTGAGGAAGTCAAGGCAGGAACTCAAAGCAGATAGCCACAGTGCATCCACGGTCCAGAGTAATGAGAAATGAATTCATGCATTCATGCTTATTAGTGCTCAGCCTGCTTTCCCTTATACAGTTCAGAACCCATACCCAGAGAATAGTGCCCCCTTTGGTGGAGGAATTTACCCACCTCATTTAGAGTCATGCAGAAAAATCACTCCCAAGCATGCCCACAGGACAGCTCAAGCTAGACAATCGCTCACTGAAACTCTCTTCTGACATGATTCTAGGTGGTGTCAAGATGACAGTTAAAACTAACTACCTCATTCCTCCTCTAACAAGACTTCTCGGTGCCTCTAATCTGTCTGGATCATCTCCACAGACCTCCATGTACCTGGAGGAGGCTGTCACAGGCACCTAGAGGGTCTTGTGAATCTGGGCAATCTCCGACAACTTCTCCTCCAGCTCCTGAGCCAGGGCCCAGAGTTCTTCGGCCGACTCTGATTTTGCTCCATCGTATAAATGCATTGAGTCCCTTAAAAGGAAATACACATCCAGCGCAAGGAAGACACCTGCAACAGTGGCCCCTCTGATTCTGGCTTTTTTAGTCATTGCCAGAGCAGTGCCTTCAAAGACATTCTGCAGCTGACTAGCTCGTTGGGCAGGGATTCCTCCAGTCGTCACGAGGAGCTTGGCATCTGCCACTAAGTGAAGGTTGGCTCTGGCTGCTCTAATGGCGCGGATGTTTTGTCCCAAGGTTTTCAATTTTTTGCAGAGACCATAGGAGCTTATAGAAAGTTTAAATGCAATCTTTCCCAGGACAAGAAGCTTCTTCATCATGTCCATGGTGTCTGACATCAGGCGCTTGGCTTCAGCCTCATCTGACCACTTGCTTGTTTCTTCCACAACTACAGTGGCAGCACCAGTCACAGTAGCCACCACCCCCAGCCCCAACCCAGTGGCTGAGAGCAGCAGACTGCCCCCTGCTGTCACAGGAGCCAGAGCTATACCCAGGATGCCCAGGACTCCAGAGGCAGCGCTGGTGAAGTTGGTCACCACATTGGAGATGGTACAGCCCCTGTGCACCTGGTCAAGATGGTCAGCCAGAGCTCGGAGCTTCCTAATGTTTCCCTCCAGCTTCCCTTTCAACTCAGGAAAAGCTTCTAGAAACCTCTTCCTGTCCTGCAGCTCTCGTTGAAACCGCTCTTTGTCCTCCAGGCCTGGGAGCTCTAGGAGCAGCTTCAGAGCCTTACACAGTTCAGCTTCCTCATCCCTGTAAAGAAGAGGTCAGCGCATCAGGAAGAAGGCTTGTTTGACTGTAGGATGGGCCCCCACGACCTATCTCCTTCACATCACAGTGTTTAGTGTCATAGAACCAATGGGAAGGTATTTCACTACATGCAGGACTCTGCATTCCACAAGGAACATTGATGATCACAGACACTCCATGGTTCTTAGTCCATAGGTGTCAGTGTGTGAAGTCATGTGAAGACACACATTAGTGACATGCCCATGACAAAGAAGCCTCTACTTCTAAATATTTGCCCAGTGGGGACTCTAGATGAGCATAGGGATGCAGGATTAGAGCAAAACTGGGGACATTCTGGGGGTCCCATGGAGATGACCTGGACAATTCAGCCTCTGTCACCAACACCTTCCAGGCTTCATCTTTGGCCAACAGGAGCTGCAGGTCTCTTCTGCTTGCTGAGTCCTGCAGATACTCAGTGACTTCCTGGATGAAGTGTCTCCTCCTCAACACTAGGAAAGAAACAGAATGAGGTCTGAGGACAGCATGGAAGAGTTTAAATTCCAAAAAGTGTACGGTATTTAACAGCCAAGGTATTCAGCATCTGCCACTGGGTACCTGATGGAGTCAGCAGTGCTGGGGAATGAGTTGTAACCTTCAATTCATGTATAAAAAGCCTTATGGCAGCAACTAGTTTTAGAGATGTATTATTAAGAAAGTGAGGTAATAAGGATTAGGTGATGTCATAAATATACATCCTTAACCAATGAGAGTGTGGTACTGATTAAAAAAAAGAATAGATACTATATATATATATAATGTCATATCTATCTATCTATCTATCTATCTATCTATCTATCTATCTATCTATCTATCTATCTCAGTAGTTCTCAATCTTCCTAATGTTGTGACCCTTTAATATAGTTCCTCATGTTGTGGTGACCCCCAACCATAAAATTATTTTCATTGCCACTTCCTAACTGTACTTTTGCTACTGTTATGGATCATAATGTAAATATCTGTGTTTCCTGATGGTCTTGGGTGACTCCTGTGAAATGGTTGTTTAACCTCCAAAGTGGTTGAAACCCACAGACTGAGGACTGATGATCTATCTACTTACCTGTCATCACTGATCTCGGTGTCTGTGTGTCCTTCCTCCTCTTGGTCCCTTCCCGCCTCTCTGTCCCCAAACACACAGGAGAGGCTGTGTGCAGACTCTCAGTTAGCAGGCTGCTGCTACAGACCAGGAAGAGTGTCCTCACCACAACCATCCTGCCATTCCTTCACTGTGGACTTTGGCTTTCAGAACTGAGGAAAAATTAGGTCCTTGGTTCAAGCCCTCAGTGTGAGGGATCAGGGTATGGCAGCTGGGAGACTCCTACACCAGGGAGGTGTCATGGTGCTGTGCAATGAAAGGAAATGTCTTCTGCTCTGAACAGTTGAAGGGTATCTCTTTTAGTCTCAGAAAGTGACAACTTTGCAAAGTGACTTCCCTCTGCCTGGCTCTTACATGTCAACACAGGCACCAGAGAAGTGAATGGGACTTTCAATTCCTCCTCACAGGGTTGTGACATTAGTTTGTTGGATAAAGGCAGCAGGTCAAAGAAAACAGGATTTGCAATGTCAGAATTATTTGCTTGTAGGAAGAGTAAGGCTAGTGTGGTGGTTTGAATGAGGATGGCCCCCATAGGCTGATATATTGGAATGCCTGGTCCCCCCTTGGTGGATCTTTTTGGGAACTGTGGCCTTGTTGGAGGAGGCATATCACTGGGGATGGCCTGTGAGTTGTCAAAAAGATGATACCATTCCCAGTTAGTTCTCTCTCTCTGTCTCTCT